TATAAATAAAATAAACTTCAATAGAGTCAGAAGTAAGTGAATGGTGAGAAAAATAAGACATATTTGTGAAATGGAAATAAAGAATAAGATAATCCATATATAATAACATGGTAAAAAATTTTCAACATTTTACAAAAAAGTAAAGAATCTTGCATTTGCCTATGGGCTACACTACTAAATCAACTCACTTCAATGCAGCATTTCCTCACATGGTGTCCCAATCCAGTGTGTGAGAAAAATTCATTCATTCATGTATTTGTAGAGCTGTCATTATGAACTCACTCTATAGGAGGCATAAGGGCCAGAGCTAAGGAAACACAACTGAAAAGAATCTTTGTGACTCAGCTGAATCACTCAAAATATGTGCTGCAACATTAGTTATCTGTGCATGAAAAATGAAGAATGATGATTTTGGACATATCTGTGTGATTCTAATGCAATGCTCAGTGAGTAATATCAGAAATAATGTCATTAAATTTTAAAAATAGTATATAGCTACTAATTTTAGAATGCTGCTTTTTGTTTAAATCCATGTGGTTAACACAGTATATGAAGTATTTGATAGCCAGACTAATCTCCTGTCTTTCTACAAGTCAGTTCAAAACATCATTTTAATAGTATTTAAATTTCTCTGAAGAACACTGACTTTTGTTTTTCTTCAACATTCATACTTAACTTTAGTTTAGAATATTTTATTTTCCTAGTCAACAGGATAATCAAAATGCTATGTGTTGTTCAATAAAAGGTGATGCCCTCATCAACACCACAAGTAGAATAGGCTTGAGCAGGACAAATGCCTCTTGTGTTTTGTTGTTGTCACAATTTTGCTTGTTCATTTTTTATTGTATCAAATAACCTGAAATCAATATAATCTTTCAAACCCTGACACACACACGTCCACACACACACCCAAGAGAAGTGTTTGATGAGGTAGAATAGATGAATCTGAGGTTGAGTGTGGAAGTAACAACATTCTATTGATACTGAATGACAAATTTTGTGTGTTACTCTTGATTAATTCTTGATTAATGAGAAACCTTTCAGAAGATGCTTTTGTTCCTTGTAATATCTCTAGCTTTGTACTGAAATTTAGATCTATTATCCAGTAATTTCAATAATTACTTTCTAAGCATTTAGCAATTCATCACAATGTTCTATGTTTCCTCCTAAATTTACTCATTATGAGTCTGATTTTGTTTAATTTATTCTCTAACATTTCATTAAAATAAATTAAATTACTATGTTCTCATTAAACTGAAATGAAAAATGTTATCAAAAGATTTATAAAAGAACATTTTCTAATTTCTGCAACCTTATTAGTTATTAATATTTCTATGCTTTTTTCTTTATTGGTATTATTCTTACTAACAGCATGTATCTGTTTTTTATTGCTTTATAGTATCTTATTATATATAGTTATAGAAGTTCATTTATCACTACATTAAAAGTTTCACTTTTTTAACATTTCTTATTGATTTATAATCATTTTACAATGTTGTGTCAAATTCCAGTGTTCAGCACAATTTTTCAGTCATTCATGGACATATACACACTCATTGTCACTTTTTTTCTCTGTGAGTTATCAAAACATTTTGTGTATATTTCCCTGTGCTATACAGTGTAATCTTGTTTATCTATTCTACAACTTTAAAATCCTAGTCTATCCCTTCCCACCCTCCACCCCCCTGGAAACCAAAAGTCTGTATTCTCTGTCTGTGAGTCTATTTCTGTCCTGTATTTATGCTTTGTTTTTGTTTGTTTGTTTGTTTTTGTTTTTGTTTTTTAGATTCCACATATGAGAGATCTCACATGGTATTTTTCTTTCTCTTTCTGGATTACTTCACTTAGAATGACATTCTCCAGGAGCATCAAAGACCTAGAATTGCCAAAGTATTACTGAAGAGAAAGAAAGAGGTGGAGGAATAACTCTTCCAGACTTCAGACAATACTATAGAGCTACAGTCATCAAGACAGTATGGTATTGGTACCAAAACAGACATATAGACCAATGGAACAGAATAGAGAGCCCAGAAATGAACCCACAAACTTTTGGTCAACTCATCTTCAACAAAGGAGGCAAGAATATACAGTGGAATAAAGACAGTCTCTTCAGCAAATGGTGTTGGGAAAACTGGACAGCAGCATGTAAAACAATGAAGCTAGAGCACTCCCTTACACCATATACAAAAATCAACTCAAAATGGATTAAAGACTTAAACATAAGACAAGATACAATAAACCTCCTTGAGGAAAACGTAGGCAAACATTATCTGACATACATTTCAAAAATTTTCTCCTAGAAGAAATAAGTTTCACTTTCTTTTAATGTTTTTCACCAGAGAAATTAAATTCTAAAAATCTGAATGGACTCTTTAGTCTACAGAAAATAATGATACAATTTATTTTTTACATTTTATTAAAGAAACTCTTCTTTGATTTAATTTTATCATGTTTTTAGTGTTAGATTCATATCCCAATTCACTCATTCTACATATTTGGAAAACTGGACAGATGTATCTTCTATTAGGATTTTAAGGAGTTTAATTGTTTCCAAAGTTAAAAGAAGTATTGATTTGTGTGTGTGAGTGTGCCTAAGAGACAAAACCTCAATAAATTGTTATATTTATAAACATTTAATGATTTAGGAATGGATTGAAAGTAGTTTGACTATTAAGGTGAAACTAATACAATTTATGTTGGAAATTTTAGTTATAAACAAAAAATTATGTGTTACAGATATATAATCACCTCAAACTTACCATTTTTATCTTGCTTCACCATTTCTGTGGAAAATAAAATTTTAGAAAAGGGTATGAATTTGGGGAATAGTAAGAGAAGGTATACCAATGAAAATTGAATCAGAAATAAATATAAACTTTTTAAGATAAGGTAGTAATAACATGTTAGATTTTTATTTTCATTATTTTTACTTACTTAATGAGGAAAATTTACACTAAAGAATTTTAAAAACAATACTTTTTAAACTAATCTAATGTCCAATATATTAAAATAATTTTACATCATATTTTATGGAAATATTTTAAAATAATCTGCAGTTTATCTATTAACTATTTTACCTTTTAACATCTAATCCATATTGTGACTGGTTGGTGGTGTTCTTTGAATTCCATTAACTATACACTTTAGCATATTTTGATAAAGAGTATTTGATAAGTTTTAGAATACCTTCCTGAGTAGTCAAATATTTGCTAATCGATAAATATTTCAGAATTCCAAAAATATTTTCAATTTCAACTTATTCATCTTACATTTGCATATTTACTTAATGTATCTGGATATCGATATTTCTTTCATAGACTAAATTATTGGACAAAATTCATACTTTGCTGACTGCTTCACAGTGGCAGTATTCATTTGTCATTGGCAATAGGTAACAGTGTAAATTTGCACACTGCTACACTGATTCAGTAATTTTCTCTAACTAATTAGCAAGTTTATCAGCCTTCATAGCATCTATTGAAGGGGAGGAAAATGCTTTTTCAAAATGAATCACTTCTGGTTTATAAGTTTATCTATTTCTGAATCAGTAAATAGTCAATTCTGTATTCAAATTCAGTTGCTCTAATATTAAAGTTTCTATTTGGAATGTTTTCTCTTCTCCCTCTCCTATACTTTTACTTATGCACATAGGCAGTCTAAAGTTGAAGACATCTACTTGATACCTGGTATTGAAAAAAAAAAGAGATATCTGTTTTTTTGCCAACTTTACTAACTCCTGATCTAAATGTCCTCTATAAAGCCTTGCTCTCAGGTTTCTGTCATTTTCTTTATTCTGCTTTACTTTTAGTTCCCCCAACCCAAACTCCTCCTTTTGTTTCCAACTTTGATGATACATGAGAATTTATATAGTCAGTAAAGTTGATCATAAATGTTAAATATATCAAGTCAGATTAATGCTAAAACTTTTTAATCACTTACCATTGCACTAAAAATAAAACCCTTTACTTAGGTCTAAAAAGCATTATAATAAAATGTCCTTGTTTCTATAAAATATCTTACCCTTTCCCTCTGATTCAATCTTGCGGCTTTAGTCACATTTTGTCTTTATTTTTATTTTTTTATCCTTAAATATATCTTGATTCTTGAACCTTCAGACACTGTTTGTTCCTCAAATATCCTTTCACCTACACTTCCACAATACTCTCCTTTAGGTCTGAAATTAATTAGCAGTCTTCAGACTTGTTTCTATGAAATCTTATAAGTAATTTGTAAGCTATGTATTTTCCCATATTCTCTACTTCTTCTCATTTCTTATTATGGTAAAATAATTTTTTACAATCAGCACTTATCTTACTCATTGTTTATTTCCCACTCCTAATGTCTCCTACAGTGTATGCTTAGTGAGAAAGTATTCATTATTGTGTTTCCAACAGCTCTAATAGGTCTAGCATTCATTAGAAATCAATAAATATTTGTTTAATTAAAGAAACATAGTTTATATTTCATGAGCATAGTACAAGAAATTTCAGCAGCTAAAAATAAGGCAACAGAGAAGTTAAGAGCTGCTGGAAAATTTAGAAGGTATGAAAAACTGTTAAGGAGGCTATGACATAATGTTTTTAGATGCCCTTGAAACATTGCCTTTCTTGTTTAATAAAGTTTGATGATCATAACAATTAGTGCTATATGTTTAAATTATTGCACTGTTCTTTTTAAGAAAATCTATCTGAATGGTTATTGATATGAAGTGGAAAACTGGGGTGTGCATCAGGGTGTACTGGTATCCTAAGACTAGTATAACAAACCACCTCAAACTAGGTGGCTTAAATAACACAATTTATTGTCTCAATTCTAAAGGCTAGAAGTCCAAGGTCAAGGTGTTAGCAGAGTTGACTTCTTCTGAAGATTATGAAAGAGAACATTTTCCATGCTTCTTGCCCAGCTTTTGGTGGCTTGCTGGCAATCTTTTGCATTTCTTTGTCATTTCCTTGCGTGAGAAGCATCACCTGAACTCTCATCTTCATCTAGTGTTCTCACAGTGGGCAGGTTTCTGTGTTCAAATTTCCACTCTTTTATGATAACACCAGTCATGTTGGATCCAGGGCCACCTTCATCTTATCAATGATCGTATTTAGGAATAGTGTCACATTTTGAAGTACTGATTTTAAGTCTTCATCATATGAACTTTAAAGACTGGCTGTAATTCAACTCATAACAGAATGGTTATCTATTATTAATTGCACAAAGTAGAGAAGAGAAAGGATGCTGAAGACAACTTTCAAGGAATTATAAAATTGCTGGACCATGGAGATCCATCAGGAAATGTAGAGAAATGAAAATGGTTGCAACAAGAAGGATAAGATTTAAGTATTAGAGATATTACTCAGCTGAAACAACAATAAAGCTCCCCTTATTTGCCATTCATCTCAACCATTTTCTTTTGTTTCCTGATGTCTAATACCTTGTAAATTTGCTGTTTCTTATGTCATTTATAATTTTTAGTTGTTCGGGTGAGAGGATAAATTCAGTTCTATTCTATTTTAACAAGAAAAAATAAGTCAAATATGTTTTAAAATTAATAGATATTAAGTTTAAATGTTTAGGATATTAAGGCTTGAGAGATATGTTTGCAATACAGCTATAAAAAATGCTGTGAGCATTTTCAATGAAGAGTTTCTGGGTGTTGTTTTTAGTAGATGGAGTATAGAATAAAAAGTCATATAAAATAATCATACATCACTGAGAAGGAATTAAATAATAGATATATTTACTCACTGTATCAAAATGTTCTTAGTCATTGTTATAATATAGGTCTTGTGCTAGATTCTGAAGAAACTAAAACCAAGGAAATTAAGATCTTCCCTCTAGAAGTTTCAAGTACATTACAGAAAACTTCATCCCAGCAACATTTTACAGTTATTGACATTAATATCAAAAAAGTATTTCAATATAGCAAGCTGTGGCCAATATATTGGGTTGCCAATCCAATAGCCATTTCTTCTTTTTCATTAATACAGAACTCAGGATTTGTAAATGCTTGATGCTCTAGAAGAATGTCAGTCTCTCCCATTCCTAGTGCAAAGCTTAATCCTCCTTGATAGCAATTATTTTAATGGAATATATGTGAAGAAAACCTGGAAAATGGCACAGGAAGGTGACGCTGTGGGAGAATCAGAAAAACATTTCTGCCTATAATGCAAAGAGAGAAACATACAAAGAAAAAGGTCCCTTTCTTCATGTCTTTGTTTGGGGCCATACAGACATTTTAATTCAGAAAGACACATCTGAGGACAAAAGTCAAGATTCTGAGAATAGAAGAGTGGACAGCTGAAAAGTTGCCCAATTTCCAAGATCTTATTAAACGGAATATACTCTGTACTCATTTTCTAAGCCACTTGCATTTGTGTTTGGTTATTTACAGACAAATTATCCTGACTGAAGTAAGTATATCGTACAAGCATCCTTTTTTCTCTCAAAATCTTAATAGCATTAGGTACTGCTTCCAATCCTACAAATTCTATCCATAACTCCAGGATTTAGAAGCATTAAAGAAGTAACTCCTTTTTCAGAGACATTCTCAATACTTAGTTTAAGCACCAACTGACCAACATAATGGGTAAATTATACCCCAGGTAACTTTAGATTCAAAATAATTATTTGGGAAATGTGAATACTTAATGCCACTAATTATAATGACTGGGTTAAAATTCTTTAGTTTGTATTAACATATTTTCAACTAAGACTTGACCTTTTGTTCATTTCTGCTCTCTCTCGTAGACAAAGTACATGGAATTCACACAGTTTTCAAAAGTGCTTGAAATTTTGTACAAAGCCATGTTTATTTTAAAAATGTTAACACAAATATGTATTTTTATATCCTAAATTAAAAGTGATTATATACAACTCATCATAACTCTACCTTGTAATATAGTAGACTTATGTATGACCAAGAGTAATTTTCATCTTGATGTCACAAAAGTGCTTCCATCTAAAAATCATCTGTTTCCCAAGTTCTACTTCCCTTTCTTTGTTCTGTGTCCTTGTGAATAAGATCTCCATTTCTCAGTTACCAGCTCCAGAAAATTAGGAGCCAATCGACATATGATATTTCTCTCTCAATCGTAAACTTCCAAGCTAACCAATTTAATACCTCTCATATACTCCTTCCTTTTTTCTTCCCATGGATAGCAATTACTCCATGTGAATGTTACTTCTCACATGTATTATTGTAAGAGCTTCCTAAATTATCTCTGTATTTTCAGTTTATTCCTTTTCAAGTCTGCCTTCTAAATAATGCCATTATGGTTCTTCTATAATTTTAATCTTCCCATGAGAATCTTTTGCTTTAAAACACATTAATAAGCAAAACATTTTTGGACATAAATCTTAGCAGTGTTCTCCCACGGGAGTCAATAGGCACATAAAAATACTCCATATTGCTAATTATCAGAGAAATTCAAATCAAAACTGCCATGAAGTAGCACCTCACACTAGTCAAAATGACTATCATTAAAATTTCCACAAATGATAATTGCTGGACAAAGTGTGGAGGGAAAGGAAAACTCCTACACTGTTGGTGGGAAAGCAGTTTGGTGCAGCCATAATGGAAAACAGTATGGAGAGTCCTCAACAAACTAAAAATAGACTTACCATTTGATTCAGCAACACCCCTCCTGGGCATATATTCAAAGTGAACTCTAAATCAAAAGAATACATGCACCCCAATGTTCATAGCAGCACTCTATACAACAGCCAAGACATAGAAGCAACCTAAATGTCCATTAACAAATGAGGGATTAAAGAAACTGTGGTGTATTTTATACAATGGAATACTACTCAGCCATGAAAAAAGAATAAAATAATGCCATTTGCAACAACAGGAATGGACCCGGAGATTGTCATTCTAAATGAAGTAAGCCAGAAAGAGAAATCACTCATAATGGAATCTAAAAAAAGAGAAAAGAAGACACTAATAGAAGTGTTGGTCTTAATTCCTAAGCTATAATACAGGCATATCCTGATAAATTTCTTGCTTTTATCTAGGTTCCTATCTTGGCTTTGCCTCTTTGTACTCTGTGCTCATATATTAATACGACTCAGTTGTTTTTGTTTTGTTTTGGTTTTGGCTTTACAATACTTATTTTAGTTAGTGAAAATCATATGGCAGAGGGCAGAAGAATGTTCCTGATTCAGTTGCTTTCTTCTGAGTTGCTGGGTCTTGGTCTTCTTGTCAATTGTGACTAGCAATCAATAAGAATTGCGCAAGTGGCGTTGCATACAGAAATCAACTTTTGTAGAAATGCAATAGAATAAAAGATACCGCAAATGTATTTTTAAAGTATTTCCTATGGGGGGAGGGTATCGGTCACTGATAGAGTGCACGCTTAGCATGCATGAGGTCCTGGGTTCAATCCTCAGTACCTCCATTAAAATAAATACATTTTTAAAAGTTTTAAAAATAAAAAACCCTGAAATTATTGAGATTCCATATGAAGATAATATAGCTGAGTACAATAAAGACAATAACATCTGAGGTCCAGCATAATAGTCATTAAAAAATACATTGGTAATTTTAAGAAAAATTTTTGAATACCTTAGCTTAGCAATCAATGTTCTTCACATTCTGGTCCATATCTACATTTTGCCCTGTTCCTCCACACTGCTCTCCAGTGATAGGCAGCTGATGAATTCCCAAGCTGGGTCAGGATATTTTATATTATCAAGAGTTTGGACATTCTGTTCTCTCTGCTCTGACTGATTTGCTCTTCACTATATATGATTGTCTCTTTCTGATACTTCATAACTGAATTCAAAAAAATGTGTTGCTGCAAATGTTTCTCTAACCTCTCAAAAGGGTAGGGTATTTATTTTATGTTACCATAATAACTTGTATGTATAATTCCTAGCATTATCCAACTTTTATGCCTTGCTGTCCAGCAAACTGCTCAGAAATAGAAAGCACACAATAAATTCATGTTGAATACATAACAATAGGGATGAATAGTTTACTTCTTTAATTTATTTTTATCCTTTGTGTGTCATAGATGATGCTATTTTAAAAAGCAATTTACAGCTACTGCTTTCATACACTTGTTCACATTTGTTCATTTGGTAAAACACTTGCCAGTCTGTGTTGGAGGTAGATATAAAATAAAACAAATGACACTTTAGGTTTGAAAAAGCACATTTTGTAATTTTGACTGCTTCTAAACATACAGCATTGTTTTCCCTTTCTATCATAAAAATTATTACTATCTTGTCATAATGTAAAAATATTTATTGTTTCTGAAAACATGCTACATCTTCCTAAACAATTTATTCTTTACCATGCACATATTTTAAACCAGTTTCAAATGTACAAAGGAAATAGTTATTCTATAACACTAGTTTAAGAATATATTCACATTTCAAATTTAGTATCAGAGCCCAATAAGGAAATTCGAAAGCTTAACAAATGAGTTATGGTCATGTATATACATGTCTAAATATACAACAAATGAGGTACAAAGGAGATAAATATTTTTCCCATGTATTTTCAGTTCTTGTTCTTGATCAAAAGATATAAAAATCTTTAAGATTTGATGGTTTAAATTTCTTCTCAAATTTTAATATGCAAATTTACTTATTACATCAAACCAACTTCATATAACTATAAAACTATGACAAAGAAAACAAAACATAAGTTTAATAAGTTTCTGAGACTAATCTACACGATGTTTTCAGCAATTTAGTATATAAATCACATTTTCAGTGCTAATATGAATCACACAATTAACACAGTCCTACACTGAAGGAATTTGTATTTGCATTTTCTTATTAATAAACAAGATCAATTTTCTTCATTATATTTCTTAGAGATAAGTATAATTTCTCCAACTTGTATATGGTTAGAAATTAAAGTTGCTTAGAATCTATACCACAAAATGAAGTTCCGTATTTATAAGTTAAATTTCATAATCAAAAGTACTTAAGTCAGTAAGCAGTTTCAAGAAGACAGGTGAAAACTGATAGAATTTAGGAGCAACATATAATTTATATATGGCATGAAAAGATAGGTCAAATTAGAATAGCAATTTACTTGAAACCAGGTGAGGAAATTTAACTTTGTGGAAGAAAATTATCATTTTAGAGTATGAAAAAATTACCTTTGTAACATTTCAAAGATTTGACACTAATCTTTCTGAATCAGCTTTCACTAGCAAAAGTAACACAAATGTGCTGCATCTAGGTTTTAGTAACATCCTTTAAAAATGCACATAGATATGGACACCAAAAATTTTAAGGTAGTAGTCAGTAGAAATGTGAGCTATAAGAAATGGGAATTAGTATACAATAAAAAATTTAAAAGCTAATACTAAATTTTGTAAATTTTTACTTTTTTGTAAATAGCATTCCCCATAGCCAATCTCCATTATCATGTAAGTGAGCAATGGAGACTTAAAGAAGGAAATAATTTATGTGGACATAATGCAGAGTGTTATTTTTGTTTCTGCACTCTGAAAATGTTATATTTGGGGAAGGTTTAAAAGGTCTGTTTCTAATAATCTTCAGGGAAAATATAGACATTTCATCTGGATGATCTTTGTTTTTCCTGTTTAAAAAAGAAGTTTACTTCTTTTCTTCATTTAAAATAAAAAAGCATGAATTGATTTTCAGTTATGTGTTGACAATTCTTTTTGACTGTAGAAATAAAAAGGCATGGCTTCTGATGTTAAGGTGCTTACAATTTCTTAGGACATTACACTACAGGATAAGAATTGGTTTAATGACAGTGTATCTCAGAGTGACATTAGAGTACAGAAGAAGCCTCTAAATATCATCAAACTCTCCAGGCAAAGCTTGCAAATGAGATGAAACTTAAAGCCATTTTTAAAAGAATCACAGGATTTCTCCATGTGAGAGGAAATCATTATAGGACAAATAACTACCAAAAGTAACAGAAGGGTTTTGAGTGTTCGAAGATTGTTTGTAGTATGTTATTATAGTGGCACCTATCTGAAATAATCAATTATATAATTCAGAGGAGTTTGAATTGTGTCCAGTAATACTAGAAGTCATTAAGTTGTTTTAGACAATGAGATTACATGGAAGTTTTTGCATTTTAGAAACATAAATTTGACCTTGGGACATATGGCATGAAAAGGATTGAGGGGTGGGGAAACAATGAACAAGACATGGCAGTGAGACTAGTGAGAGAACTGATGGGGAAATCTAAGACACAGAGGTGAGAGACAAAGAGAAAGAGGGCATTGGGGAAAGTTAGAAAGTAGATTTACCACTTCACTAGTGCTCTTAAAACATTTTCAGAAAATGCAGACTAATTGTATTACTAAAAGATCAAAGTGATATTAAAATAATATAGAGAATATTATATTATAAATGACATTATCTATAGCATATGGATTGCATGCTATATTTGAAGACGAGGGTATGATTGGAAAGCATGGAAGACTCGGGGAAGACAATGTTAAGTATTATATGAGTCCTGAGCTCCTGGAATACAGCAATTGTAAAGAAAGTCCCCCAACCTCTCTTGTTCTGAAAAATGGCTTAATACAAAGAACCATCATTTTCCCTATGATTTAGATAAGACTAATGGATGCCCCCTGCCCTGCTCCTTAACTGCTTATGTCAAGGCCAGACACAGGCCCTCCAAATTCCCATTCTTTGCCTCATAAATTATTAACTGAACAGTTTGTCCTCACTGACCCATGAGAAAAAAAAATGTTTACTAATACGATTTGACCAAAATTTAGTTAGACTTCACTCATTTCAGTTCTTTAAACTTCGGTCGTGCTCAGTCTGATCAAGTATTGAATGTGGAATAACACTTTCTCCATTACTCCCCCTGAAAATAGGCAGTAAAAAAAGACATGTCTGAGTCTGGTTCTTTCCAGCCTTGTTTACTGCTCCCTTATAAAAGAAAACCTCTTTCCTGCAAAACCTTTGAGATGATTGTAGATCTCATGGTCAAAATTCTTTCCTAGTGCCATGGCCTCCCTTCCACTACTGAAATAGGCTCTCTCCTCTTTTTGCAATAGTCTCTCTTACCTAAGTCTTTTTAGTTTTTTATATAAAAGCAGAATGTTTATTGGGAGTTTTACAGCTATAAATTAACATTACATATACTCTTACCCAGTAGGAATATTGCTAGCAATTTAGGTTAACACTATCAGAAGAGAGAGAAAAAAAACTTATCTGTAA